AAAAAAAAAAAAAAAAAAAAAAAAAAAAAAAAAAAAAAAAAAAAGACTAAAAGAACTTGAATGTATTTGAAACATAAAAGAGTATAAATTGAAGTGCGCAATAAAATTTACCTGTTGGTTTACACTTTGCAGCTGAATATTCATAAAAATCATGGTAAAATAATCACATAAGAAGATAGAAAGCAAGTCCATCATTTGACAACAAGATGAATTTATTAACAAACAAAATAATTGGAACGCTCGGTTTGATAAACGTGTCCTGCACGATAAGAATATTGGCATTTTTAACACCATCCATCATATTTGGCCCTCTATCAGGAGTTGTCTTTTGAGGCCTCATTTCTTCCCTCTTAAGGGATGCCAAAAACTTCTGACGGTTCCACATCTAAGTCGCAAAAATACGACTCTACTAAGAAACTGGAATAATTCTCCAACGTCACTGTTACGCTCGTTGCTAAACTTGTTTGTAATCTTTTAATACCAGCTCTGAAACTAATACTTGCTTATAGAGAACTAGCTCTGGGTTCAAGATTAGCCTCTAATAATCTATTGATAATACATGCATACATCCCACAAGAGAAATAATAATACAAGCATACACTCATAGGCCACCTTTATTACTGTAAAAGGTAAAGAATAATTATGTAATTTGGCTTGTATAAATCACCTGATGGGCTGATTCCATCCAAGAATCTACAATGAGGATTCCAGGCATACAAATCGACAAGTTGTCCAAATCTGTTTGCAAAAAGGGGCAATTAGATATTCATTTTAAAAAGTTGTGCGCTCGTGCTGCTTTGTAGGTGTGAAAATGATGAGAAGATAATTTCATGTACTCGTCTCCTTCATTTCCAACGTCTACGGTGTCGCCACTATACAACCGTCCAGGAATAGCATTTCCAATAGAAAAGTGCATGATATCGACTTCATATCCCTTGCACGTTTTGTTCGTGCAAGTATTCTTTCCTTCCTTGCAACCGCCCATCTTAAGACAGACAGGAATTTTGTCTTAGTCTAAAGCTCAAAGCAGCAATGGAAACTGTCAAATAAAGCCATGAAAAACAGCGCAGTGACTTACGTTGTGATAGGTGGCACTCTCGCCAATCTGAAACATGAGAGCAACTGATGGACATTTGGAACTTTCACTGCACCAAATCATCCATAACCAAGAATTACATCCAAAACTTCTTAAGGTACAAATAGATTTAAACAAAGATATGATGAAATAATGTTCCTAAACTCGCAGTTCCAATTCAACGCATGAATTGGTATGCTGCCATCGTGGGGAGTGCTTCAAACGTACGATCATAAAGATTGCCTAACCCCAAACTAGAATCAGAAGCAAACTGAGTTCCAGATAAATTTCCATATCAGGAAGCAAAATTTTAAAAATGGGTACATGTTCAATAAGTTGTCTCGGATTAATCTCCATCCATTTACTGGAAGCCGTGAAAATCGATTAGATGCACGAACATGGTAAAAGGAGGAATCAAGATCAATCACGATTTCGAAAGAAACAAAAAAACAAAACGACATAGTCCAAATTACTAACCCTTTGATGTATCGATAATCCCCATCAACTTGGAGCAAGAAGAACACGTCCCTACCGTCATGTAAAGCCTATGAACGATTCACATACGCCATAAGAACCCCGAAAGAACAAAAGACCAGCAACATGCACACAAATGGTCAAAATTTGAAAAATAAAAAGCACCTTAACGGTCATCTTCCCACCACTGTATTCGTTGTCATCGTCAGGGTCGAGAGCCTGTAAGAGAGAGAACTCGAATCCATCAATGTCCTTCCAATCATCAGCGTGTCCATCAAGAGTAATGACACCGGGACGAAAATCCGCAACAATTCCGATCTCGGAGTCCGATTCGCAGCTCCAGTCGCCGGTTTCCTCGTGGGATTTGACCGGCCCGATCGGCGCGAAAGCAGATACAAGCAGAATAGCAAGAAGAAGAGGAGGAAACATTTCTCGCTGATGCTGATTCTTCTGGGTTCGATTCTGGAGGTGAATTGATTCTGTTGTTGGGTCTGTAGTCTTGAGCTGACCCGGACCTAAAGCATGGGCTGCCGCGGTTGACTATAAATGGCGTCATTTTCTGTTCTGTGTGAGGTTTTTACAATAAAAATTCACCGCTTTTGGCCATTTCCAGGAGTGATCGTCGCGATTTGCGCGAGAGGGAACCCTTGTCGTTCGATTCTATTTAACCCCCCCCTTTTCCCTAATTTACCCTTCATTTTCAACCCAGTTAATTTTAATTTAGTTATAAACTTTATAGTCAATAATTTACCCTTCCTAATTTAAATTTTATAATATTTTTAAATATAGTGTCAATTTTACAAATTTTAAAAAGCATTGAAATTTTTGTCAGTACAGCCCATGAAAGTGTCAGTCAGCTAAGTCGGCTAATTTAGGGAATGATCGTTATGAGGCCTTTTGGAAAGTCCCAAACCAAAGTCATGAAAGCTTATGCTGGACAATATCTACCATTGTGGAGTACTATCTTCATTGTTATGAGGCCTTTTGGGAAACCCAAAACCAAAGTCATGATAGCTTATGCTCAAAGTGGACAATATCTACCATTGTGGAGAGTCAGGACACTAAGATTTAAGGGCAACTCTCCATTTCTAAGTTCGTAGCCTTCGCAATAGCTTTATCGATGTTACCTACCAAATCAAAGGCTTGTTCGGGAAGATCATCTAATTCTCCGGAAAGGATTAATTAAAATCCTCTAATTTGTTTCTGCTAGGCCAACGTATTTCTCGGGGAACCCATAAAGACTTCCGCTACGAAAAAAGGATGTGATAAGAAACGCTCCATTTTGCGTGCTCGTGCTGCGCCTCTTCGGATAATTCGTCCAACCCAAGGATAGCTTTAATGTCCTTCAGTTCTTTGTAACGTTGTAAGGTTCACTCTTTGCGCAGTTTCATAATGTTCTTCACCAACGATCCGAGGTTGTAGCATAGTTGAATCCAAAGGATCTACTGCTGGATAGATACCTTTGGCAGCTAATCCTCTTGGTAGTACGATAGTAGCATCCAAATGTGCAAATGTATGTTTGTCTAACATAGTATTAAAGTCATGCCCCTAAACTTAGTCATGTCGAACTTATTTACCTTTTAATCCATTTTTTTACTCGTTCAACAAATACTTTATACACTTTAAACTCATTTCGCTTAACACAATACGACGGTGTTTTAAACTAAATAGCATAATGTGATCGAGCTTCCCATCAGTGTTTCCAAGTACACGTTGAGGAAATATTAAAGTTTTAAATTATTATTTTAATTGTTCAATTTGTTTTAACATTGGTTCGGTTTAGGAGCTATGCAAGGTGGTATTGAGCCAAAGCCCAAATTTATTAGTTAGGGCACACCTCCGATTCACGTGATCCTGGACCAACTTGCTCCAATGTTATTTTGATATATGACTCGAGAGAATTGTATTTTAGTATTTAATAATGTTCGAGGTAAAACTTTTTTACCACGAGTCATGATTCTACACAAAATGTCAAAATATTACCTTATTAATTGTGAAGTCTCACTAATGCACACAGTCAGTAATTCTAATTATGGCTAACACGTCAACAAGTGGCTTCTCCCTTATGTTCGAGTTGCTTATTAATTTATGTATTTACGTGAACGCAAAATATGGAAAAATACCTATAAAGTATAAAATATCTTCGTGTTCGTGTTGTTTTTAATGATAAATATTAAAATTTTATTTTAATAATATCATTTTTCATGAAAAATATATTTAAAAAAAAATACTCTTAACAGGATTCAATTAACTTCAATCTCCATATTTATTATTTGTTGCATAAAAATTATCTCTAAAATTTAAAATACAATTATTTATTTATTTATTTTAAAATAATCAATATAAACCTACAAATTCTTGTCAGTAATTTAACCGGTAAAATGATAGGCTTAGAGCTGAAATAAATAACCTCGTTGAAACCAATTGGATCGAACACGAGGAGATTCGATCGCGCGGTGACATTTTCGGCTGTGCATTCTTATACCGAAAACCATAAACCCTGTCACCAATCACCGCAAGGCCTGGAGTCTCTCTAAGGCTAGTTCTTCTTCCATGCGACTTACCAGATCTGTTCTTCCCAGTCTGACACTAGCGTGAAGCTCCAATCGTTCCTAAAATGGTGCTCAAAGCAACTGCAATATTCTTTGCGATCTTACTATATTCAATTTCTGTCGCTTCCGCTGATTCAATCCATGGTTGCGGCGGATTCGTCGAGGTAAATGGATTTTCTTTTATGAGTTGTTTAATATGTCCGATCGGAGAATTTGCGGGAGTTTCGTTTGAGATATTTAACAATCCGACGATGTAGGATTTGAGTGAGAATGATCGAGTATGAACTATGAAGTATCTTAGTAATATTGAGCTTGCTGGTGTGGTTCCTGATATGGGTTTACTATGAATTTTAATGGGTGTGCTTTGGATTTGAAGTATTTATTGGATCTCGTTCGTCGCTAGTATTAGATTTATGGAAGCGGGGGTTTTATTTTCGTTCTTATTTGCCGTAACTTAATTATGATCTTCCATGCTGCAGGCAAGTTCGTCCTTAATCAAGTCCAGGAAGCCGAATGACGGAAAGTTGGATTATTCTCATATTACGGCACGTACCACGTTTTTTTGTGTCACTTTTGTTATTATTTCAGCTCGATATCTGTTTTTGGTTAAATGTTTATGATATATGATTCCCTGAACTTAGAATCTCCAATCAAGTCCAGGAAACTGAATGACAGAAAGTCGGATATACTCAACTTTTGTTCTATATCCAAATATCTGCGCAAGAAAAGTTTGTAACTAATACTCGAGTTTTATTACTGTTCCTTATAATATAGGTTGAGCTTCGAACAGTGGATGGGCTAGTCAAGGATAGGACTCAGTGTGCTCCTAATGGCTATTACTTCATTCCGGTGTATGATAAGGTGATTTTTCGTTGAATGTTAGTCTATTAGTACTAGCTATATTACTATTGAAGGATATTGTTTTATTTCATTTTGTATTGTTCACCTCCATTTACAGGGTTCCTTTGTAATTACGATAAATGGACCAGAAGGGTGGTCTTGGAACCCGGATAAGGTTTCTCACTTGCCACTTTGTTATAACTATCAAGCACTTCAACATTTCTTCACTTGGATATATGGTTCACTTGATGTAAATATTGACTTTCCTTGAGTTCTACGATGGACAAAAATTTGTAGGTTCCTGTTCTTGTTGATGACACTGGGTGCAATGGGAATGAAGACATAAATTTTCGTTTCACAGGGTTTGATCTTTTTTGTTTAGTTTTTTCCAAATAATTGCTTACATCTCGATGCTTTTAGTTGTATATAACAAAATCTACTTTTGAAAATCTTTTACTGTAGGTTTACATTATCCGGTAGAGTTACAGGTGCTGTTGGGGGAGAGAGTTGTTCAAATTTGAATGGTGGTCCCGCAAATGTAAATGTCGAACTTTTGTCTCCTAGTGGCGATGTTGTATCTTCAGCATTAACTTCATCTGAAGGGAATTATGTCTTCTCAAATATTATTCCAGGTTTGAAGTAATTTTTATTTAATTGGTTTGTTATAGTTTAATCTGATTACATTTTCTCCAAATGCTAGTTGAATTTTCATTTTTCAAATTAATGTGTAGACCTTTTTCCAACTTGAAGTGAAAAATGAACTGGAACTGAATTTTCTGGGTAATGTTAACATATGACCCGTAAAATTGCACTGTTGGTGTTATAAGATGCTGTTAGACGAACTCTTGTCTATTTAGACAGGCAGCTTCATTTGTTTTAAAGGACAGCTATGGAAATCTGATAGGTAATTGGCTATTTCTATATTTGCTGGAGGAAGAAAATGAATAGCTAAAATTATGATCACTTAATGAAATTTATCTTCCTATCAAGTATCATGAAAATGCCCTCCCCTGACATGGAGAATTTCCTCCATTATTTTTTCATCTCTTTCCTGAACTTGCTTTAAACTTTTTTGCTAGCCAGTCATGTTCTTTGATTAGAGTTACTAGTTAGGAAGAAGAGGATATGAGGTGCTAGCATTGTGCAAGTGTAGGATAGAAAACAAGGTTTTCACTTTTCACCTTTTTGCGTATTTCATTTTATCAATGAAATCTTCACAACTCTTTTAACAAAAAAATCTATTGCCGCCAAGATGGAAAAATGGATTATGAATGAGAAATCCCTAAAAAAGTCCAGTTCTTTCTGTTGTATCTCGCCTATATGAATCAGCACTCAAGCTGGAACCAAGCTGGGAAGGAAACTCTAGGCCACAACCACTTGTTTATTCATTGTGGCTAAAAGCTGCTAGAGTTTTCTCTGCGCAGAGTTTGAGATTGCCTGGTGCAGTCTGTAGACGCTTATTTGTTGCTTCTGGAAGTTATAAGAAGTTTTTTATTTTCACGTCAACTCTATGTCTTCTTTAGGTGGAGAGGAACAAGAAGATATTTTAGGATAATACGCATGGAGTTAGCATCTTTTTTTTTTTTTGGGTTGGACTAGCTATATGTAGCCTTGAGTTAGAGCACTTTACATAGGCTTTTTGTAATTGTAACTTTTCTACCTTATTATTGTAGATTGGAGACATTTTTTATAAACCCCTTTAGGAGGGTGGAAGATGTCATATTCTCCTACCCTCTTTTCTTTGTATCAATTTGTTTTGATTTCAATTGCATTCTTGTTTCTTATCATCCAGTAAAAAGAAAACAAAGATGTTACTAGTTTTTTTGTTTAAAAAACTGAATGCCTTATGAAGACTTGCTCAATAATTTGTTGGTAGTATCTGTGTTATGTTGGTCTCTCTGATTGTGATATTTTCCCCTTTAGAACAAGGATCATAAAACATTTTGACGCATTAGATTTTGTTTTGCATGTACATTTGATGGTGCAGGGGTATATAACTTGCGTGCTTCACATCCCGACTTACAAGTTGAAGCTAGAGGTTCCACAGAGGTTTGGTGTTTTTCAACCCTTGCATCCCAATTCAATTTTATGTTAAGGTTACCGTGCCCCTTTTATTAGTGATTTTAATTTCCACCGTGAGTCACTACT